CTTGGGCAACTTCCTTGACCTTACTAAACCTCTTCTTCCATAAAAACGGGTTGGTAATATAACAACGGAATTGCCCGCTGAGTCCATAACTTACACAAATTCAACTCTTTGTTCTGGCAAAGGATACACTGTCAGGAAAATGACCCATTTTGAAGCACAGGTGATTTTGCGTACTCTCCTACCTGCATTAATTTTCTGGGGTTGCCATAACAAAGTGCTGCAGATGGGGGACTTAAACAACAGAAATGTATTGTCTCCCAGTTCTGGAGGCTGGAAGTCCAAGATCAAGGTGTCTGCCAAGATCACTGTCCCTCTGAAGGTGCTGGGGAAGTGCCTGCCCCTGTTCTCTCTTCTAGTTTCTAGTAGCTTCTTGGCTTATGGCGGCATAACCCCAACTTTAACCTGATGTTCTTTTTATAAGATACCAGTTATTGGATTTAGGTTCTATCCTGATCCAGTCCGACCTCATCTTAACTTGATCACATCTGCAAAGACCCTATTTCCGTATAAGGTCATCTTCACAGGTACATAGGGTTAGGACTGCAACTGATCTTTTGGGGACACACAATTCTACCCACTACAGGGGATAAAGAAGACTGTACACCGTGGTCAGGGGGACCAGCACTGCCATCAGAGAGCCCGGTGCCCCTGTCTCCTCCCACAGTGCTGAGCACACCTCTGTACATTCTGCCATGACGCTGGCATCGTTGGCCCGGAGGTAAGGCTTTAACATGCCTTCCTCTTCTCTCTTGAGCCCCTACTGAACCCTTAAGATTCAGTTTAGGTACCACCCTCTCGGCAAAGCTTCTCTGACCCTTTTCCCAAGCAGAGGCCCTCATTCTTTCCTCGGGGCTGCCAGAGGGGTCTGTTCAACTTCTGTGTTTTGCACAGCACACTTCCGCTTACTCGTGTGTCCCCGAGTTCCTAGGGCTGCGAATGGGTCTCATTCTGAGATTCTCCATGTGCTGTACCTGGCACTTAGTAGGTCGTCAGCGCTAGTTGGGTGAGGAAGAATCAAGAATGGACAGATGCATGGATGGACTGATGGGTAGGCGTCAAGTAACAGAGAGATCTTCCCTGACCACCCCCACCCCCATCCCTGCCCTGTTCTGCTTCGTAGCAGTTTTCATCATTTATCGTTTTAGCTACTCATTTGTTTCTCTCCTTTCTCTAGAATGGATGTTCTGTAAGAATAAGCATTTTGCCTACCTTTTTACTACTGTGTCTGCAGTGCCTGAAACAACAATATTTGTAGGAAGGGTGGCTGAATGGAAGGGTGGATGCGTGCATGGGCGGAAGGGGAGGCCATCTGTGGCCCAGTGGAAATGAGTCTCTCATCACAGAGTCTGCTGGTCTCAGAGCCACCAGGCCCACATGCTGTCCTGGCTCAAGGTGCTTGCTTAGCCCTCCCTCCCTCTGCCCTTACCCCCAGGTCCAAGATTTGTTTGCTTATAGCTGTCCTCTTGGGACAAGGCCCTTGCACCCCCAGCCTGGGGCCGGCAGCTCTGCCCTGGACTGGACAGGTTTTACATAACATTTTTCTGCAACCAGAGTGATAATGTGCTGCCCCACAGTGCTGCGTCTTACACAGCGCTGGCCTCCCGGAGTGTGTGTGTGTGTGTGTGTGTGTGTGTGTGTGTGTGTGTGTGTGTGTGTGTTTCACGTGTACTCTGCCAGCGATGCATGCAGAAGGAGTATTATCTTCCCTCCCTCCCTAGAGAGCCTTGGTTTATGTAATCTACTTGTCTCCCAGGCCCACTTAGTTATTGAAAGTGGTCAGAGGTTAGACAGAGGGAAACTGCAGCCAGGTCTCAGAGCTAAAGGGAGAAGGGTTCTCATGCAGAGAAGCAGAGGAGGATCCCGCAGGTCCTGGGTGCTGCAGAGGCACCTGACCCCCACTGATGAAACGCACAAACGAGCCGGTAAACCAGAAGGCCGGTGCTGTCGTTTGTGGCAGAGGGTAGGGAAGGTTCCTGTCTGGATTGACATTACCTGGACTGACGTCCACATGCAGCTCTTCCAAAAGCCTGGAGGGAGTGGGAAGACTTGTTGAGTAAAGAATTAGAGCAAAGGCCACTATACTTTTAAGGATAATTCTGACAAGCCTGATCAATTTCGCCTCCACTGGGCAGATATTTCCTACCTAAGAAGCAGGGAGGGGCCTCTGGGGAAAGGCTGGCACACCGTCTCCCCTGGCCAGGCCTGGAGATGCCAGTTTATTTTCCTTCCCAGAATCATAAGTGGAACTACTCTGTCCTTCCCCAGCACGCCGTTTGGGCCACCAGGATCTCAGCTCATTCCCGCTGCCTTCCCTGACCTGGGCTTCCCACACCCTCCTCCTCTGCTGGACTCTTTCTGCCAAGACTGGGAGCTCCACGAGGACAGGGACCAATAGCTCTGCTTGTCCTGGCACACAGCCCTGAGTGTCGGGATCACGGGCAAGTTGGTGATGATGAGGAGGAGGAAGAGAATGACACTTGAGATACTTACTGAGGCACTATTCTGTGTTCTTTACATGTTTATCAATTACTTTAACCCTCATAAGGACCGTAGGAGGCTGATGCTATTATTTCTCCATTTTACAGGTGTGGAATCTGAGGCATGTAGAGATTAAGTCAGTTAATCAAAGTCACACAGCCAGGAAGAGCCAGACTGAATGTTACAGTTCAGCTCCAGAGCCATTCTTTTAGCTATTAAAACATTTTATATATGCACATGCATATATATTAATTTGGGGGATGAATGGATGCACGCAGAGGTCTCAGCCGTGGCTTATTTAGAAGCCCTGAACAGCCCCGCATGCCCACTGGGCCACACGGACTCCTGGCAGAGAGTTAGGACTCCATGAGGTAGGGCCCCAGGGTAGCTCCCTCCTGCTTTGGCCATTGTGGGCAGGGAGGAGGTCAGGACTCTGAGGTTCAGACAGGGGCAGCTGGCACCTCCTGGGCTCGTGGAGGGTCAAGAGTTGTGGACAGCTCCCTCTTCCCTGGCCTGGAGCTGAGATCCCAGGCCACCAGCTTGAGATGGAGCCTCTCCTTCCTTCCATTGTCTCTGCGGGCACACCCAGTGTGTTCCTGCAGTGACCTGAGGCCAGGGAGGGAGAGAGGGAGGGAAGAGGCCAGGGGAGATCTGGTCCGGTGGGAGAGGGGAAACGAGAGGGGAAGACTTGGTGTTTTTCCTTGTTTGTGTTTTGTATTAAAGAAAGCAAATAATATCCTTTGAGAAAACCGTTGAACAAAGCACATCCTAAAGCAATAGAGGCCCATTGTGGCTGCCTGGAGCCGGGAATTCATTTATGTCTTTTTTACTGCATTGTCAGAGGCAAGATAGGGTGGGAGGGAGAGACTATTATATTTTTTTAAATATGTTTTATTGATCTTAGGGAGGAAGGGAGAGGGAGAGAGAGAGAAAGAGATCAGTGTGAGAGAGAAACATAGATTGGCTGCCTTCCATATGCACCCCGACTGGGGAACGAACCTGCAACCTGGGCATGTGCCCAGACCAAGAATCAAACTGGTAACCTTTGGGTGCATGGGATCACGCTCAACCAACAGAGCCACACCAGCCAGGGTGGGAGAGACTATTATTAAAATATATTTTGAAATGTGTCGTTCCCTCCCTGGACTCAATAGGAGTCTAAGCCAAGTGTCTGACACCAGGGTCCCTGTGTCCTCCTGAGCTTGTTTCCCTCCCAGTGCCCCCCTGGGAAGCTCTCTGAGACTGGCCAGTCCTGGTACAGCCAGAGCTGCCATTGTCTACCCCACCCCCCAGCTTGATCAAAGTCTGAACTCTGAGCCTCCAGGGCCAACAGGGACCTCAGCTATGGAGCTCAAATCCAGAGGCTGCATTTTCCCTCACCGTAGAGAGGCTGGGCTGCCAGCCCCACAGAACTGCCTGTCTCTAATTCATTGTACCAGCTCTCTGGGCCTCGGTCTCCCCATCTGTAGAGTGGGGGTTGGGCCAAATGGACTCTCACTGACCACTGTCCAGAACACTGGGCCCTGTCACTCCCTCTCTCACCCTGGGCATGCTCAAGGTCCCGTGGATTCTGAGTCAGCCTGTATCCAGGTGTCCCAGGCCCAAGCCATTCCACCCCACCTCCCAGACCCCTAGGCCTAGATACCACACACACACCCCACCCCAGCCCCAGGCTGTTCATAGTGGATTGGCAGTGCTCTCTCCGTGTCCCACCAGAACACATTTTCCTGTGGGGAGGGAGGTGGTAAGAACAGAGCTGGCCATCAGCCCAGCTTCTGCAAATAATTCTGCCTGGAGCCAGGCATTTCTGGGATCAGCCCCACTTATAAAGCAGAGATCTCTCCCCAACCATGAAGTAAATGTACAAATGTTGTCATGATGACAATAGTTTAAAATTTTAAAAGGCACTTAGCTATTTGCATGTTCCCCCTAACTGCTCCCCAAGAGTATAAGGAATGAGGGTCTTGGGTACAAGTACACAGGGGTCCTGGACTAGGATGTGGAGACCTGGGTTCTAGCATGTTCCCTCTGAGTGTGGCTCAGGGCTTACCAGGGCGCTGCCTCTTCCTGATCCTCTCAACAGCTCAGAGAAGAAGATACTAACATTCCTGTCGTGTCAGGGAGCTTGATGTTAGAGAAGTAACTTGTCAGTTGTACAGCCAGTGAATCCGGGATGTGGTCCCAACTCTGTTGCAAACTCTGCAAGACCTCAAACTACGCATTCACCTCTCTGGACCTGAGCAGTCTTGTTTGTAATTTGAGTGATTGGATACGACGAATTCTAAGGTCCCCTTTGTGTCCCTACTGCTTTTGATCCTGTAATTCCAGCATCATCGCTTGGTGGGAAATTCATTCACTCTAGTATTTTCCACTTTTCAGTCTTGCTTTGGTGGTCAGAGTCTAGTCTCTCCAAACGCTCCATTTCTTTTTGTCATAGATGTTGTTATCGTTAGTTTGGTCCCAGAAGTTCTTACGCTCTTTCAGAAGTTGCTAACGATGCCCCCTCCTCCCCCACACCCCAGGGCTACCACCCGATGCCCCATGAAGTGGAGATTGCGCACACGAAGAAGCTGTTCCGGAGGAGAAGAAATGACCGAAGGTAGGAGAGACTACGTCTGGAGCTTCAGGGTTTATTTTCCTCTGTCGGCCATCTACAGCTCTGTCGCTCCTGGTCTGTGTTTTGCTTTGCCCGGTCACCAGCTGATACCTGTGAGGTCGGCATGTGGGGTTGGTAACGGGTTGGGCAGCTGCGCTTCTCTTGGTTGGCCCCCGGAACGAATGCCTTCAGGAGTCCAGGGCAGGTTTTGCAGTTCAGGAGGAGAAATGCTCTTTCCGCTGTCCAAGGGGCAAGGACCTAGCCAGCACGTGTTTTGAGACTTGGCCTCCAGGAGGCTCCTGAGATCACAATTCCAAGGGTATTTATCTTTCCTCCGCCCCAGTCACTGGGAGTCATCCCTGGCCCATGCTCAGCTCTGCTGTGACAGGCCACACACAGCTCAGCACCTGCACGTGCTACTGCTCCCAGATGCCTGCAGAGCATGAAACTAAAGCAGAAACCAGGATCTCCCTTGAGTTCAGAGCCCTGGGTGATAAAGGGGCCAGAAAAAGTGCCATGAGGCAGCCCTGGGTGAAAACAAGCAACTGAGGCTGGGCATCCTGGGAGGGCATGCCTTTGTTTCCTTAAAGGCTTTCTGACACAGAAAGGTCTTCAAGGTTTATTTCAAATGGAAAACCACAGGTGCAGACCAATGTTTGTAGTATGTGGCCATTTGTGCAAAAGGAGGTGTTAGGGTATATTTTTTGCTAGAACATGCGTAAATGATTTCTGAATGGAAATATAGAAAAAGGAGGGAGGAAGGAAGGAGGCCTGCCTGAGGAAGTAAAATGAGGTGTTCCTCTAGAGGGGATTTCTTCTGAAAGGTGAGGCTTGTGGTTTTACCTTTCATGAACAGAGAACGTTCTCAGAGCCAAGAAAACAGCCCAGCCCACATCCTTGCTCAGAAAACTAGAAGTGCCTGTTCTCGTGCAGCTCCTTGAGATCAGAGCTGGGACTGACCAAAGTCCCCAATCCTCCCCTCCATACTCACTGTGAACAAGAGTGTTGGGTGGTCGCCCCAGCTTGGGGTGGGTGGAGGACCAGGCACCCGAATGCTTCGTCATCAGCTGGTGGATTTAGCAGGCCTGAAACAGAGAACAGTAAATGCACAGGGAGCTGGGAGAAGGGCAGTCCTGGCTTAGAAATCGGAACCACTGGGCACTTTCATGCAGTGACAGGAAAAGGGGAAACAGCCCGGAAAGTTGGAGCAAGCCCCGTCCCTGGTTATCATGCTGTGTGTGTCCCCTTTTTCTGTGCAGCTTCAGAGAGGCTAATTCTTGGTTTCTGGCAGATGGAAGATGTAGGGAGCACCCTCCTAAAAGGGGAATGGGTTCACAGGGGGACTGGGGTGGTGTTGGGAGGTGCAAAGGCTTGGTGTCCCTCCTCCCTTGCCCCATGGTCCCCAGAGTGCCTGTCTGGAGGTGTGGGGCAGCCCCAAGCTTCCGAATGAGAGGTCACCCTCTGGCCTGCTTCCCCTGGCTGAGCATCCAGGTCCCCACCTCTACTTGTGGGCCAGGTCGCCTAGCTCAGCAGGAGTCCCCTGGACAGTGGCAGGCCTCCGGAAAGCAGCAGCATGACCCAGGAATGTAGGAAGAGGAGCGTGACATGCAGGCGCTGGGAAACTGCCCTTCCGCTGGGCCGCTCTTGTGTTAACAAACGCCCGGGTTAGGTCAGCACACCTCGCAGAGGATGTGGACCCGGGACAGAGTCCAAAGCCAGGCAATAAAGATGATTAAAGGGATGGAAAGTATGTCCTGCGAGGAGAGGCTAATGGACGGACGGGGCCAGGGACAAGAAGGCTGCAGAGGAGGGACATTCGCGCGTAAACTCGAGAGATTTATATAGAGGAGCAGCTGCCTCTAGAGTTACAGGGCCCCAACCAGAGGCTATCAGCCAACATGGAAGGAGAGCGTGCTCAGCTGGACCAAAGACAGGCTCAAGGAACAAACATCTTGACCATCAGAGGTCAGGCCTGCAATTCAGGGCAATAAACGCACATCGAGCAAGTTGTGTTTACGATGCATCACTCAGCCCCCATGGAGTCCCAGGCATGGCCCTTTCAGGAGAAAAGCAAGCAGCCAGATAGTTTAAGGACCTCATTATCTGGAAGCAGGAAACCAACGCCAGAGCCCCCTGAGCCCCTCTTGGTGGACATGTGATTCTGATATTTGAGGGATGGCTGCAGAACATTGTCAGGTGGACCCTAACCTTCCAGCTGATGATGGATAGTAGTGGCCTTGCTGAGCCCCAGACCTTTATATTTGACCTTGATAGCTAAAACTTTTTATGTAATAGGCTAACTTTCCTGGTATTGGGAGCTTAAACCACACCAAGAGGCTCGCACTCCCTAGGTGGCAGAGGGAGAGGTGACCAGAATCAGGTTTGGTGGCCAAAGGGCACAGCCAGCATCTGTGCCATGCCTCTGATCTCTCCCTCTGTTGTGAGGGAGCGCAGGTACTGTTTCTCCATGTAACAGATGGAATAACTGAGGCCAGAGATGTTAGCTAAGAAGTGGCAGAGCTGAACTTGCCTATACTGACTCTAAATTTCTTTCCCTTTCAACTCTACAACCCCAAGTGGACATTTGACCCAGAAAAGACCAAGAGCAGGCAGCTAGTAGGTACACAGTTGAGGTGTGGCTGCAATGTTACATTAAGAGGAGTGACCTGCTCTATGGCGTCGCTGTGGCTCTCTTTGGAATGCCTGCTGGGGACTGTGGCCTTCAGTCTTCCTGCAAAGTAACTGGACCTGTGTCCAATAGCTGCAGACTCCCCGCAGCACAGGCAGGTCGCTGAAGCTGAGCTTCTGTGATACCCCACAGCCTGGAGCAGGAACTTGCAAACTGGGCTCTAGAGCCCTAGTCTTCTCACAAGTCAGCATTATCTCCCAATTCAGGGTGGACTCTCAGGAAGTTTGGGGTGCCCTTGCTGCTTTCTTTGCCAGTTATTGAAGTCTGAGGCACATGCTGTGGAATTGGACACTGGATGTGAACCCCACTTCCTATACTTGCTAACTCTGATCTGGGCAAATTACTTCATATCTTGAAAACTCTATTTCCTCTTCTGTAAAATGAGTCTAGTAATTGGGAAGCTTAAACAAACTAATCCTTGTAAGGTACCTGGAAGTGGTCTTAGCACCAGCTCACTCCACAAATCAGAGTGGGTTCGAGGCCCTGAGGAAACAATGAAAGGTGTGAGTGGAGTGAAGATGTCTGTGGCAAAATGGGGGGCGGGGGAGGCTGTCATCTCATGGTCTCCGGGGTGCAGGATTTGCCTGTGAACCCAGGGAGCTTTGCCTTGCCTCCCCTCCAGGGCACCCAGGATCAATATTCCTTCTCCTGGCAACTTTGAAAGCTCTCCTGTCAGGGCCAGCTGGGGAGCACCCCTCCAGAGCAGCCCTCTGCAAACCGTTCCCACATTCCAAGGGCTGCTTCAGGGGGCTCTATGATTAAAATTGAGATGTAGATATCTTTTCCTCATGTGCCAGAAAAAGGTTAAGCTTGGAAACAGTGCAAAGGTTTTCTCCTTAGAAATGATCTTAAAACTTGGACAACCGGTAACTACTTGTTTATTCTGGGAAACTAGTCAAAGATGTTTACTGATTCCAGACATAGTTATACATCTCATGATGTGAATGTACTAAATGAGTATTTCATGCATTCCCCAAAGAGCAACGTGCCTCCGGTGCTCTGTCCCCATCCTAGCTAGAGACCTGCTGACCAGAAGGGAGCCACTAGGGTCTGTCTCTCGCCTCAAGCTCCTTCCCTCAGGATACAGGGCAGAGGAGCAGACTCAGAATAGACCGAGTCCCGACAATGCTGCTGACCCCCTGCCTATGCTGACCTTGAGTGAGGCCTTGCCCGGGGTGTGGGGATCTGCTCTATTCCTGCCCTGCCCCCCTGCTCCATTTGAAGAGATGAACAAATGGAGGCAATGAACGAATGTCCGTCAGAGTCTGTGTTCCCTGGGAAGCTGACTCTAGGATGAAGATTAACGGGCAGGATGCTTGCTCAGGAGCGCCCTTGGGATCAATAGAGCCAATGGAAGGGAAGGGAGCAGGATTGGGCAGAGGGAGGAGTTGAGCTGCAGTGCTGTCTGGGTGGGAAGTTCTGACCCTACAGGCAATTCGGAAGTAGGGGTGACTTTTTAGAGTGAAGGGGCAGGTCTTTATATGCCCATGTCCGCTGGTCTTCGGATGGGGACTGCCCAGGGAGGGGTGGGGCGTGACCTTGGGCTGGGAGCTCTCTTAGCCCAGGGCAGTTTCCCTAAGGGCAGGGTGCCCAGAGAACTCCAGACAAGTTCCACCCAATCCCTGGGTCCCCAGGTGGTGCTGTAGGGCCAGCCACATGCTGGACACTTTGGGGCGAGCAGATCCCCCAGCAGCTATGATTGACCATGACTTTTGGCTCAGTGTTCTCTTTATTATAGAATCAAATAATATCTCATCCCTCCTTCCCTTCCTCTGCCAACATGTGCCCAAACCCTCCTTTGGTGTCAGACTTTTTCTCCAGGGACAAAATTAGTATCAGCCATCAGATTTGATTTTGGAAGCTCATCTAGGTCACTGATAAAAACAAACAGGATATCTGCACTCTAAACACAAAAATATAATTTCAGAATTGTTATTAACCCCTGTGAAGCCCACTTCTTGGCACACCTGACAACTCTGCCCCATGCTTATTCCATTCTGGAAGCCACCTTACCCCTCCTCCTCTTTACATCTGGGCTTGTGCACAGGGAGGACCCTGGGGGATGCCCAGTGCCTCCTCAAACCCCATCTCTAAGTCACAGTTGCTTTCTGGAGCTTGCTGTTCCCTTTTGCACCTAAGATCACTTCTCTAGTCAGGAGCCCTTCATCCTATGAAGATAACTAAGTCCCACGTCTTGCCCACCAGGAACTGAGCAGGAATTAACCTAGTTCAGAGCCTGGATCTCCAGCAGCTCTTGCACATGAGTTGTTCAGGTGGCCCTTTTGTAAGTACAGTCAATCCTCATTATTTGTGG